ATATATATATATATATATATATATATATATATATATATATGCATATGCCATGTCATCACGGTTCTACCTCTGGCTTGAGCCTTGACTGCAGTGAACCTCTGATCCATGAACTTTTCCTTTTCCGGTTTTATTCCCGGTCCGGTTCTCTAATCATTGCTTACAACAATAATATCAAATTGTTTAGTAATATAATACTTGATGACATTTTTGGACCTATTGTTACCAATCCTTGGTAACACCTCTGTATGTATGCTCAACCTTCAATGTTTGACAATGGAAGCAGGTTGTAAACTTGATACCTTTCAATCCAATTGGTAGTTTGAGTCCTTTCAAAAGTAGCAATGAACAAGCTGTTAAAAGCTTCCAGAAGATCCTTAGAGGTACGTATGGCATCAGGACAACGATTCGTAAACAAATGGGTCAAGATATAAGCGGTGCATGTGGTCAACTGGTGGTGAATCTCCCAGATAAGGAATTGATTAGAAGCTCAGGTCTCACAACCGACATCGAAGATCTTTGTGCTGGATAGAGTCAAATCCTTTGGTATTCTCTTTCCGTTTCTGGCATTGAGGTCAGGCTTCATATGTGATCCACAAATCTGTAAGGTTTTTTTGGCATTGAAGTTTGATCAAATGTAATTTTCGTTTCTGGGGATATATTCCTTTTCTTTCTTTTTTGGTAAAGAGTGAATTATATTGATGAACCAGAAGAAGATTGGTACAACAGAGAGATTACTCGACTAGCCCTCTGCGCAAGAGCAAGCGCAAGCAATGCTACTTTATCATTAACGCATTGGCTTGGCTAGCCTGGACAAAGCCCCAACAGTCAGTCTTCACAAGCACTGATGAAAAGCCAGCTCTTCGAACTAAATCCAAGCCCCGTAGAACAGCTAAGGCTTCACGCTTCAGGCTGCACGGAAGAAGTTGCCTTAGAACTTAGAAGGGCCTGAGTAAGCAGCTAAGCCCTGGAGAGTGGAGATGTATACCTTGACACTAGGAAACAACACCAAAGGTGCATCCCCTTTATTGTACGTTAACGGTAGGACCCATGAAAAGGCAAATTGTAAGTCAAAGTTTGAAATGCGAAAGTTCCCTCCATGGCTCCATTGTCTATAGCGCATATAAAATAAGGGTAATGCACCGTCTTGACATTGTTCGAGTCAGCGAAGAAGTCTTGCGAAACTTTCGTGTCAACGCCAGACTTGGGGGCCCAGCCCATCGCAGTATGATAGACTTTGGGCGGAGCATCTGTCATAGAGTAGGACAGCCCAATTTTAACCTTGAGGTTGAGAATTTGGCTTAGGCCTGGCCCAAGAAAATGGTGACCCAGTCAAACCAAAACCCAAAGAACTAAAATAACGAATTTCTGCTGTTCTTTATCCTTTTCCCTTTCCCTCAAGTAAAAGGGGCAATTGCATGACCTAATTGGGTATTCGCCCATCCAGTGGATCTCGCAACCTGCTAGAAATTTCATATTCCTAGGGAGACCTACATTTGTTTTTATTTCTTTTTTTTAATGTTCAGCCTTAATTCACGTGTACTCGTGCACCAACATTGGAAGACCTTCCATAATCGTTGTTGCCAGTTGCCACCCTTCGGTCATTATAGATAGAGCTTTGTCTCAATATGATAATTAGAATGTTGAGAATATTTCTAACTCCAGCCCCATACAGACTAAAGAATGGAAGCCTATTAAATGAAAAACACCAAAATGGGGGTTCTATCAAAATAAATTTTGATGCGTCTAGAAATGATAAAGGTGATTGCACAATTGGCTGCATTGCAAGAAATTAATGGGAGAATGTTTAGAGACCAAATCTTATTTTATTGGGAATTTCTCAATTAACGTGAGAGGCCTATAACAATGCTTTTAACTATAGGGGTCTCCCCACTTTCATTGAGGGAGGTTCTCTTCTAGTGATTTCGTGCTTAAAGAACAAAGTGGACTGCCCGTGGAGATTGAAGACCATTGTAGAGGAGTGTTTGAAGCTGGCTGGAGAATTAGAATGTGGAGTCACAACCACGTTTTTAGAGAAGCCAATCAAGCTGCGGACTAGATGGCAAACCAAGCTCTTTCATTTCCTCTTATCATTCTCAGTTTTTGTTTTTCCTTTATCCCTAGGGATTTAAGTTCTATTTGTTTTTGTGATGCTTGGGGCCGAACTACGCCCCATATTGTGTAGCTCACATTGTGAAGCATACGGTTGCCTTGAGCTTTATGTGGGTCTGCTTTGGGGTCAAGTTAACTTTTAAACACTATCTCATCCCGCTTTCTTGAATCCAAGTCTGGCCTACAATTTCTGGGCCTAGTGTGGGCCTATACGGGCCGGATCGGTCTAGGAATGATCACTCTAGGCTTTAGGGCCAATAATAGATATGTTCAACTTTCAACTTGTAATTTCTTCTCATCGTCCTACCATGTAGGTTGGGCTAAATAAATTCAATCTTAGAGTTAATGTTTAAACTTAAAGTAATGATCCAGTCTATACTGTAACCATCCCTGTTTTGTTGTTGGTTCAAGGACGTGAACTCGTGGTTGCAATTTAACATATGTTGTGTACCATGGGAGCAAAATAACTGGACAACAACAATCCAATCCCAAGAATCATAAGGCTTTATTCTCATTTCTGAAAACTACTTATGAGCTATTCAGCAACGCGAATGAATGATCTTAATTGTTAATGATCTCTGAGATCGAAATTTTAAGCAAAGATCCATTTTTCAATAGGTGATTCCTGGAGTTTGATTTGAAAGCTTACCTTTACAAAATGTAAATATTTCCCCAATTTAAAAGTACCAAATTTTAAACATTTTTGAAACTGATAAACCTATTACACTCTCTATGGGTCTCACACTATGGCTTTCGTTTTAAAACATTTTTGGCTCATTTGCTGATGTGAGATCCGCTTGAGAAAAGGAGAATCAGTTTTGAAGAATGCATCACTGATAGGTTTTGTTCCTGAAAATCACTTTATGGTTCTCAATTTTTTGGAAAAAGGGTCCATTTTGTGAGCAATTCTCAGTTGCTAGTTCAGTCTCAGGGAGACGGGGGGGTACTTGGCATCAACTGGGGTTGGGAATTTTTTGTTTTTTGTTTTTTTTTTGAAGCCAACTATGAGATTAGATATGACCTTAGAAATCATTGATAGAACTTGGGTTCTGGGCTTCTCTAATAATGTTACCATCACAACCACTTGCTACCAACAGGGAACAAAAAAAGGAATAGGCTCTAATAATGTTCCCATCTCTCTATCTCTCTCTCAGCCTTAGGGTAGTTGTTAAATTCTACTTGAGGTAATGGAAACAGAGAGCTATCCCTGAATCTGGTTTAGCTTCTGCACATAGCTCATAAAAGAAAAATAGTTTAACTTTAAACATAAGCATGAGGGCTTCGTATTTACTCAAACATCCCCACCAAAGTGAAAAGATATAAATTGCTTCCACGTTTGCATTTCACTGTGTCCATCTAAGCTTATCTAGGCAACTCTGTTTGGTTGAGTTCCACATCCTCTAGATGTCGAGTCAAAGTGGGATGGAACATGGAAGCAACATGGTTTGTTTTTCCCATTTATTTGAAATGCTAAGATTATATTTGTACTGTACATATTTATATTTGTATTCTTACAAAAAGAAGGATTTAATTGTTTCTGTTAGATCAAAATCTGCATCCATAAAACAAGCATTTTCTTTTCCACTGGTGACAGGCCCACAAGTCCTCTTATAGGACTGTCAATGGACTGATTTTGGATTAGACCCCATCCAAATCGAAATCAATTTAGACAGATTGGACACATATGGAATCAGACCAGTCCAGACTTAATGGTCCAAAGTATTTATTGGATTGGATTTGACCTGATCCATCTGTAATGAATTTATATTAGATTGGGTTAGAGGGTTCAGACATTGATTTTAACTGGACCAAAATGGTCAAAAATAATTCATTCTATTGGATTGGACCTGATTGATTTGTAATTGACTCACATTGGACTGGATCAGATTGGACCAAATCCAGTCCAGTTGACACCCCTATACTCTTATGTAACAACCAGAGTAGCTTCCTCTAATTCGATGTCTAGAGAAGAAAGTTTTTGCAGCATCATATTAGTGTTAGGTTCTAGTGGAACTGTTGTAAGGAGGGCGGTCTTGAGCAATAAAGGAAGAAGAAATGCTTGGAACGTTTCTTTCGTTTAATGGCATTGCAAAGAGTCGTTTGGTAACGACATCCATTCACTAAGCATTTAAAGTCAAAATTTGAACAGAAACCTCGATGAGAAGGTAACCGTTCATCAAGATGGTTATAAAAGGGAGGATCCCCAACTCCGTACTATCTATCCAAACCGAAAGCAAAGCTTTCTCATCAAGCAGATAGAGAGAAACAGGGTTGAAGTGATATCCCGCCGATACAAATTGTTATGACTTCTTCGAGATCTCCAGCTTTTACTCCAATTCTATATCATTTGGATGCTAGAAGCTGTGGTGGTTGGACAGGATCGGGATTTGGGAGCCCCACACCACACGTAGGAGTACTTTGGAATTTAATGATTATGGGTGCAAATTGGGTGCCCAACTTACAGGGCATTGGGCCCCGGACCCTCAGTCTGGACCCATTCAAAATAATTGAATTTATCTTCAGCCTAAAAAGTAAGAAAAGAACCCAGCAATCCGCTCCGGAATGCCAAGGCTGAAGAAAGCGGAGGGCTGGCGAAAAGATTATCCTTTGTAATTTCTCATTTGTAAGCGAATCCATCTCCTCTCCATGTATGATTGATTAGGTGGGTAAACGGGCCAGGCGCTAGCCACCGAATAATTCTCCCTACTCTTGTTCTGATTTGAGTTGGAAGTTGATTCCGGTCTTGCTACCCACCAACAATTGACTGGTCAATTTTGACGGCAGTTTGGTGTGATTCCGATGGAATGGACCACCACCGCGGCCGCAGCTCATTCGACTATTGGTAACAATAACATTGCTCACCACTAACCAAGAAGAAGGTAAGAAGTTGCATTGAAGTAGTGACGTTAGGAATAAGCACCAACAGCTCTAGCGCTGCCGGCCATTCGGTCATTATGTGCTTTCTCACCGTTTGAGTGTGAAGCCTGCAGGCTGTTTCCTCCTTCCCTTTCCCCATGGCTCACTCGGGATTTCCTACAAACTTTCCTACCCACCTTCTATCCGCCATGAATTAAGAGATGTGTGGCTCCAATTCACAGCGGATAGAGAGTGGGTAGGAAATCTGGGCTCCTCTTGGCTCACTTTCTTTTTCATCTGCTATCTGCTATGTTTTTTTAGCTAAAGTTAAGAGTTAGGCAACAGGTCCATTTTCATATGCCAACATGAGTCTCCCTACGCCAGACAAACACCCTCTTCTTTTTTATTTTTCAAAGCCCATGCATATATATATATATATATATAGGTCTCGGACTCGAAGCGTACGTTAGAAGGTCATTTTCTTTCTTTACTCTCTTATTATTATTATTATAGAGGCACTTTTACGTCTAAAACCAATTAACTACCCAATCAACAATCCACTGGTAGAAAAAATTGTGCCAAGAAGAAATCCTCTTTAAAAATATTTTACAACTTTCAGCGTAAGATCGGTTGCTTGGTTTCAGTATCCATGGTTGGACATGGCCCCTAACTTAAATATTACCAGAAGAAGAATAGTTAGATATACTCAAACGTTGAACTATATATAATCTGAATTAGATTACCCAAAAATAGAACTAATCTGAATTATTTGCCATGTGGATGTTTAGTTGTTTACTTCAACGCTGATTTTGTTTTCATCTTATAAAGAGGAAAACAAAGTTTTGGCTATAAAGGCGGCAATAATATAATTGAAAAAAAAAAAAAAAACATTTCAATCCAATTAAATGCATTTTAATCAGATGGCTACAAATAGAGCCTAATCGCCGTTCATTTCGCTGTAAAATTAATGTGAAACTTTTTCATGCTGATATTTTGAATTATATTTCTCTTTGTTCTACTACGAAAAATTTTGTTTTTCTATTTTACAAGGAAGTAAACATGGTCTAAGCAAAAAGTTTTTTTTTTTTTTTTTTGAAATTTCCTATAACAAATGTCACATATCTAGTGGGAAGGTTGTTCTCCAA